TGCTGAGATTTTGAACCGAAATCTCAAAGGCAAGTTCTATTCCTAACTCTCTCTCTTTGACTCGTGTTCTTTACATGCCTAACACAACTCCAGGATAAATAGACATTAAAGATTAATCTGGTTCGCATGTTAATTTCAATTATAACAGTATGCCTTTACATGAATTAGTGTTTGCTTGTTTGTAAATTTCTATGCATAATTCATGTTTTAATTGATGTTAATTGATGCATAATGAATTTAATAAATTGTTGGGACTGTCTGGAACCTAGAACAAAGGGTTAGGAACCTTAGTAAGGATAATCAGAAAGTCAGAAAATAGCCGGCGTTGGCGAAGACGAAGGCTGGGAGAGTGGAAGCGGCTTCACCCTTCAATGGAGGCGGCTCCATTGAAGTGGAGCCGGCTCCACATGATGTAGAGGCGGCTCCAAGGGAGTTGAGCCTCTCTACCCAAAAAGTTGAGCCTCCTCTACCTAAGTTGAGCCTCCTTTACCCAAAAAGTTGAGCCTCCTCTACCTAAAAGTTGAGCCTCCTCTATTTAAAAGTTGAGCCTCCTTTACCTTAAATTGGAGCCTGCTCTACGTTTTTTGGAGCCTGCTCCTTTGTGGATTTTTAATTTGTTTTTAACTTCAGCGATGGATTTTACTCTTGTACTTTGTGATACCCTTCGTATCTAAAGCTACGGGTGATCAAGTTCGAGCACAGATCCGAAGGATACGAAACAATTAAGTATATAAACAAGCATAGAGTACAAGAAGGATAAAGAATAAATAAATAAAAGGAAAGGAAAAAAATAATAATAATAATAATCATAACTCCTTAAAAGACTTATTAAATAATCCTCCAAATGACAATATCCAAAAAATATCTGATATCATTACAACTCGGGAATCTATTATGTGGACCCCTAACCATAAACAACTGAAATTAAATACTGAAATAAAAATGAAGTCCAAACTAAAACATAAGGAAGACTCCTACGTCAGATCGAAAGAGTGATGATAGACTGTCTTTGCTCAGCACGAACAACCTCTAAGACTGGAACCGTTGAACACCTGAAAAAAATAATAGTGGGTCAGGCCCACGAACAAGTTCTAATCTACTACATCCCAAACAGAGACCCGATACACGTATACATCCTAGTCAATCTAACAGTAACTAGTAGTCCGTATATATATATATATATATATATATATATATATATATATATATATATACACACTAAAGGAACCTCACTAGACTATAGGGTTGCCTCAACCTGAATAGTAAGCATCACGCAAAACGCACATATAGTGGGCATGAATACATAGACCTACCAGGGCACACAACTACACTATATCTAGCTACACATCCCTGACGATATACGCACCCTAACCACTGATCCTGAGACTCAAGCTCATATCATGACACCATAATTCTATATATAAAATCCATCATATCCAACTATAATTAATCCTCTATAAGTCATTCAATTTGTTTTGTTGACCTGACTTGAATATAAGTATGACTTAACATTTTAGTTAATCCATTCCCTTATACAAAATAGGTAGGACTTAACTGATAAGTTAATCCATCCCTAGAATGCCACCATCCCATACTGGTGCATTTCATCACACAATCCACAATTGATGAAAATAAATACAATATCACATCAATTAAATCCAGAGATGAGCATAATATAAATCAGTCATGTATATGATCATAATATACTACAACTACATGATTAAATCATATATACACCACATTAAATTGCTAAATTAAATCTAAGCAATTATACTCTCCATTAATAACACACAACTCCATTTAAAATTTCATATTGTTTAATATCTTAGTATAATAATTATAATCATGCATTCCATAACCTCCATGAATTTATTTTAACAATTTAAAATAATTAAAACAAATCCAAACAACTATTAACATGAGCAGTATAAATAATATTAAGAATTCCCAAATCCTACGACATATCGGTTGACTGAACCCGTCTTTCGATCGGCCAAAACAGCACTGCACATTGTTTTCTTCTATGGGTTCTTCTTCAAAGCTCCATTGTTGGAGATTCAAAATTCTGATTCTTCTTCCCAAAATGTCCCAATACCCAATATACATCATATGAACATATTTTAAATAATCCAGAACACAAATCATACATCAATTTATCAAATTTTAAAAGAATATACAAACCCATTACATACATATTTACATTGTAACTTCATACTTTAAACATGTAAAAAGTTTGTTTTAATCCAATTAATTCTCCTGGAATTGATCTAAGTCTGTATAGAACACAAGTCAAAGAGGAAGAGAAGAAATAGAACTTGCCTTTGGATTTTTAGATTTAAAACCCCAAATCTCCTCCCTCCTTTCTTTTCTAAATCCGGCGACCCCTTTGGTTGCCTTAGCGACCTTTTGCTTCTTCTAGTATAGCCTAAGAACAACCCTTTAGATCCATCCTTAGTTCAACCCTTCTTTCTTGTCAAATCTTATTTTTTTCTTCCTTCACAAACCCCTCTGTTTTCCTACCTCCCTTAGTGTCTGCGTGAATAGGGTTTTCCACCCTTTCATAGATATACAACTTATGTATATACTAATAACTTATAATCATTTTCCCTTCCCAATTCTAATTACTTTAAAATAATTGAATGGAAAAAGGAAAATAAATATACTATATACATATATACCTAAATACGTAATTTAATTTAAACAATATTATATCAAATACATATAGAATTATATACATATATGAATCCACCGACTAATAGTATTTAATTAAATTAAATTAAATACCCCTAATAAACATACAATTAAAATAACCATTAAATACTTAATTAATAAAGCAGTTAAACATACAATTAAAACAACCGTTAAACACTTAATTAATAAAGCATTTAAACTTACAATTAAAACAACCATTAAACACTTAATTAATATAACTTTTAAACATATAACTTATAACCATTAAATACTTAATTAATATAACATTTAACCATACATCCATTAACTTATAACATATAACTTACAACCATTAAACACTTAATTAATATAACTTTTAAACATATAACTTATAACCATTAAACACTTAATTAATATAACATTTAACCATACAACCATTAACTTATAACATATAACTTACAACCTTTAAACACTTAATTAATATAATTTTTAAACATATAACTTATAACCATTAAACACTTAATTAATATAATATTTAATCATACAACTTATAAACCATAAAAATTAATACAATAGTTAATTCAAATAAAAATAATACAACAATTAAACATTTAACTAATACAACATTTAATTCAAATAAAAACACATTTACAAAAATGGCCACGAAATCAAATAATCAAGTAATTCAATTAAAATGCAATAAAATAATTAAATAAATACCGAGACTATCCTTTTAAAATTAGGGATATTACATACTTAGATTTTGATGTTTCAGTTTAATTAGAAGCTATACTGGAGGTTCTCAGAGGTGTCCTGAGCTTATTTAAAACTCCTAAGAGCCTTGTTAATGCATAATTAATCACCTTGTATTATAGTTTGAATAGTATCAAATTCTTACACAAATTGGTATACTGTTTTAAATGTGGAGGTTTAAAATTGTTCAACATTGTTTTAGCAATTTTTCGAGAATGATTTTATAGTTAATAAACATGTGAATTTATATATTTTATTATGCTTATTTGGAATGAATTGATGTTTACATGTATAATATGTATTATCAGTTATTGGACTTGTGGAGTGGTATTAAATAAGCCTGTTACATTACAGAATTTTATCATGCTTAGTATGGAACAATTGATGTTAGTATTTGATATTTTAATTATCAATTATTGGATGTATGGATTAGTTGATATTTACATTCCTTGTCTGTATTATCAACTGCTGGATGGATGGATTGTATGCACCGGTATGGGACGGTGGCATACTATGGGGATTAGCTCAAAAACGCTAAGTCCTACCTACTATGGAATTAAGGAATGGATTAACTAAAAGTTAAATCCTATTGATTTGTAGTGTTAAGGCAACGAATGGTTGAGTGGCACTACTATGGATTCTGGATGGATTTTAAATATATTGTTATGGTACCTCGATATGAGTTTGAGTCTCAGGATCGATGGTTAGGGCGCGTGTATGCATTGGGATGCATAACTGGCTATGATGGTTGGAGGTGCACCCTATTAGGCTTAGGTATACATGTCCACTTCAGGTGCATTTTGCATGTTGCCTCTATTCAGGTTGAGACCGGCCTGCAGTCTAGTGAGAGTCCTTTAGTGTGAATATATATATATATATATATTTATGGACTATATAGTTATTGTTGAGTTGGTTAGGATATACATGCGTATCGAGTCTCTGATTGGATTGTAGTAGGATATAATTTGTTCGTGGACCTGACCCACTTCAATTTTCAGGTGTTCGACAATTCCAGTCGTAGGCTTGATTATGTTGAGTAGAGACTATCACTCACTCTTCCAACGACATAGGACTTCTCTCCATGGTTTACTTTAGATGTTCTTTTAGTAGTTTCATTTCAGTTTGGATTTTTATTAGGGGTCCACTAGAGATGGATTCCCGAGTTGTTTAATTATTGGAGGTTTTATAGAGGATTGGATTTCTGAATTTTAATTTTATTTTATTCAAGGATTTTTAAACTTAGATTTCTTTTTGCTCTTAATTATTTATTTCTTATTTCATTTTTGTATTCCGTATTCGTTTTAAATATTAATTGTTTGATATTCCCTCGGGTTTGGGCTTGGGCCTGATCAACCCGTGTCTTAGATTTGAGGGGTATCACAGTTGGTATCAAAACACTCCAGGTTCAAGTGTCTTTAGGATGTTTCGTATTAAGACTTCCGCGTAGCGTTTTCTCTTGATTAGAGCTTAAGTTTAGGATTCATTGTATTCCTTTACGGTTCGTTTAGAAAGTACTGATGTCAATCTTATTCTGTAATTGCAGAATATTTGGCACTAGGAAAATGATGTGGTCCGCGATGAAAGCAAAGAAGGACCGAAGGAAGAAGAAGGTTACTCCGACGTTTCTCCTGCAAAGGCCGACCAAGAAGGCAGAATTGGAGACCAAGGAATTGGTTCCAGTAGGTGTTGCTTCGGAGTACAAGTCAAGGAAGGTTTCTGGTGTACGAGATTGGCCACCATACTGTGGACCTAACACAACTTCGGTGGTGCTCGAAGCTGAGCCAAGCAGAGAGGAAGACCCCGAAGAAGATCAGGATGGAGGAGATACCGAAGCATCAAAGATGAAGGGCACTGGTGTTCAAGGATGAATGCTTTTCTAAGAGTAATTTTAATTACTAGTAGTAGTGGAGATATTACTAAAAGTGTAGTATGGATTTAATCACGTACACTAATATTTTGTTAAAGAATATCTTACGATTATTCGTTTGACAGTTTATGGTTTGAAAAAGTTCTTAATAAAGTGAACTAGCGGTTTTGGCTATCTTTATTATGTGTGGTGATAACATTTTTGTGATATATATACATATGGTTTTATTAGACTATGTTGGGATGTGTAGGTTACGATAATAGATGATTATCACAGTGGAGTGATTAGGTTTTTGAACAGACAAACAAATGTTTGCTTCTAAGTATATTGTATTGAAACAGGATGATTACCAAAGAGTTTATAAAAGAACTTGTGTAAATCAATATGGTAGGTTTGGTTTCGAAGGAGGAATTCCCAGGATAACACGATAATCTAAAAGGGAGTAGCTTCGGAGTATTTTGGTTACCTTATGTGTTTTGCTCTCCGGAGTATTCAGCATTCTGGTTTTGATAGTTTAGTTGGTGACACTAGATATTTGTAGGCTCAGATTTCTAGCCAATCTAGTGGTCCTGGACATGCACATTTATGGTATGATACTTGGGATGTTGGTTATCTCATTACCATGCCCAAGATAATTGTTTTGATAGGTCTGTTGTATTTACTATACCTGGTCAGGATATATATGTCGTCGCTATGCCACATTCTAGTGGGGTCACTAGCACTTATTTGTTTCATATGGAGGAGGAAACAGAGGAAAGGATTACGGTATCTTTGGATAGCATACCGATCGTACAGGATTTTTCGGATATATTTTAGGAGATTCCAGGGTTGCCACCTAGTCGCGAGATCGACTTTGTGATTGACTTAGCTCCAGGCACTACGCCTATTGCTAGGGCACCGTATAGGATGACACCAGTAGAGATGCGAGAGCTGAGGGATTAGATTCAATAATTACTTAGTCAGGGTTTTATTCGTAGAAGTACTTCACCCTGGGGAGCACCAGTGTTGTTTATGAAGAAGAAGGATGGTTCGCTTTGCCTGTGTATAGATTACAGGGAGTAGTATTCTTTACCTAGGATTGATGATCTTTTTGATTAGTTGAAGGGAGTTACATACTTCTTTAAGATTGATCTACGTTCTGGGTATCATCAACTTCGGGTTAGGGAGCAGGATGTTCCTAAGACAGCGTTTCTCACGAGATATGGTTCTTATGAGTTTCGTGTCATGCCGTTTGGATTGACAAACGCACCAGTAGTTTTCGTGGATTTGATGAATAGGGTCTTCAAGGCTTATTTAGATGAGTTTGTCATTGTTATCATTGATGATATTTTGATTTATTCTACGTCGGAGGACAATCATGCAAGACATCTTCGTACAATATTGCAGACGCTTCGTGAGCACCAGTTATATGCCAAGTTCGAGAAGTGTGAATTTTAGAAAGTGAAGTTTCTGGGTCACGTAGTGTCAGAAAGGGGAATAGCGGTAGATCCAGCTAAGGTTTCAACAGTGGTTGAGTGGGGACAGCCTACTTCACCTACCAAGATTCGGAGTTTCCTCGGATTGGCAGGATATTATGGTAGGTTCATTAAGAGGTTCTCCAAGATAGCAGGACCACTCGCATACACAAGTTCCATGTTTCCACGTTGAGGATCGGTATCACCATATCGATGTTGGCGAGATTGAGTTGCAACCGGATGTAACCTATTTGGAGCCACCGTGTTGTATTGTCGACCGTCGGGATCAAATTCTTCGTAATAAAGTTATACATTTGGTGCGTGTTCAGTGGAGTCATCACAATGAGGCTGAGTCTACTTGGGAACGGGAGGATGTCATTCGCTCGCAATTTCCTGACATATTGGAAGAAGGTAAGAGCGAATTCTAAGGACGGAATTCTTTTTGTTAGGGAGGAAGAATGTAATACCCCTAATTTTAAAAGGATAATCTCGGTAGTTTTTTTATGGTTATAGTTTATTTTATAGTTTTATTGTAATTTGTGTATTTGTATGTGTTTATTTAGCTATTTGCTTATTTGTTTTATTTATTGTTAATTAATTGAATTAATTGTAGTATTTGTTTTAATTTTTCTTTCTTTATTATATGCTTATGTGGATTAATGAATTACTTGTTTTAATGGTTTTCGTATTCATTATCATTCTATGGTTTTTTATGTTTCACGGTTTAGCCGACTAAGTTTATTTTTAGTTGAGGTTTCTGTATCGTAATATAGTAGAATTAGGTTTTCCTTAAACCTTTATAAATATAGCATTAAACGTCGGCTTAGGGTTTAGAAATCAAAAACCTTATTCACGTATACGGAGAGAAACAGAGAGAAATAGAGTACTTTGGTTAGGGTTTAGCTAGGGCTAAGGCTGAACCAAGGAGGGATTAAAGGGGTGTTGTTCGAGGGTTGACCAAGGAGAAGACAAAGAGAGAAAACAGAACGTTCGCTGGAAACCTTAGGAAGACGACAATGAGATTTTGAACCGAAATCTCAAAAGCAAGTTCTATTCCTAACTCTCTCTCTTTGACTCGTGTTCTTTACATGCCTAACACAACTCTAGGATAAATAGACATTAAAGATTAATCTGGTTCGCATGTTAATTTCAATTATAACAGTATGCCTTTACATGAATTAATGTTTGCTTGTTTGTAAATTTCCTTGCATAATTCATGTTTTAATTGATGTTAATTGATGCATAATAAATTTAATAAATTGTTGGGACTGTTTGGAACCTAGAACAGAGGATTAGGAACCTTAGTAAGGACAAAAAGTCAGAAAATAGCTGGCGTCGGGGAAGACGAAGGCTGGGAAGAGTGGAGGCGGCTTCACCCTTCAATGGAGGCAGCTCCATTGAAGTGGAGCTGGCTCCACATGATGTAGAGGCGGCTCCAAGGGAGTTGAGCCTCCTCTACCCAAAAAGTTGAGCCTCCTCTACCCAAAAGTTGAGCCTCCTCTACCTAAGTTGAGCCTCCTCTACCTAAAAGTTGAGCCTCCTTTACCTTAAATTGGAGCTTGCTCTACATCTTTTTGGAGCCTGCTCCTTTGTGGATTTTCAATTTGTTTTTAATTTCAGCGATGGATTTTACTCCTGTACTTGGATTTTGATGTTCCAGTTTAATTAGAAGCTATACTGGAGGTTCTCAGAGGTGTCCTGAGCTTATTTAAAACTCCTAAGAACCTTGTTAATGCATAATTAATCACCTTGTATTATAGTTTGAACAGTATAAAATTCTTACAAAAATTGGTATACTGTTTTAAATGTGGAGGTTAAAAATTGTTCAACATTGTTTTAGCAATTTTTCGAGAATGATTTTATAGTTTAAATCATGTTCCAGTGTTATAAATAAGCATGTGAATTTATATATTTTATTATGCTTATTTGGAATGAATTGATGTTTACATGTATAATATTTATTATCAGTTATTGGACTTTGTGGAGTAGTATCAAATAAGCCAGTTACATTACAGAATTTTTTCATGCTTAGTATGGAACAATTGATGTTAGTATTTGATATTTTAATTATCAATTATTGGATGTATGGATTAGTTGATATTTACATTCTTTGTCTGTATTATCAATTGTTGGATGGATGAATTGTATGCACCGGTATGGGACGGTGGCATATTAGGGGGATTAGCTCAAAAACGCTAAGTCCTACCTACTATGAAATTAAGGAATGGATTAACTAAAAGTTAAATCCTATTGATTTGTAGTGTCAAGGCAACGAATGATTGAGCGACACTACTATGGATTCTAGATGGATTTTAAATATATTATTATGGTACCTCGATATGAGCTTGAGTCTCAGGTTTCGATGGTTAGGGCGCGTATATGCATTGGGATGCATAGCTGGCTATAATGGTTGGAGGTGTACCCTGTTAGGCTTAGGTATACATGCCCACTTTAGGTGCATTTTTGCATGTTGCCTCTATTCAGGTTGAGACCGGCCTGTAGTCCAGTGAGAGTCCGTTAGTGTGAATATATATATATATATATATATATATATATATATATATATATATATATTTGTGGACTATATAGTTATTGTTGAGTTTGCTAGGATGTACATGTGTATCGAGTCTCTGCTTGGATTGTAGTAGGATAGAACTTGTTCGTAAGCCTGACCCACTTCTATTTTTAGGTATTCGACAATTCTAGTCGTAGGCTTGATCGTGCTGAGCAGAGATTATCACTCACTCTTCCGACGACGTAGGACTTCTCTCCATGGTTTACTTTGGATGTTCTTTTAGTAGTGTGATACCCCTCGGATCTGAGACACGGGTTGATCAGGCCCAGGCCCAAATCCGAGGGAATATCAAACAATTAAAGTATTTTATAACGAATACGGAATACAAAAATGAAATAAGAATAAATATTAAAAGCTGAAAAGAATACTATATAAAATCCTTAACTAATAAAACTTAGCAAAATCCATCTGTTAAAACCTCTATAATTACAACTCGGGAATCCAACTAATGGACCCCTGAAGAAAATCTCAACTGAACTGAAAACTAAAAATAAATAAGCTGGAATTATCGAGAGAATTCCTACATAAACAGATGGATACGAGACTGTCCTCGACTAGCACGATCAAGCTCTAAGGCTAGAACCGTCCTGTACCTGAAAAGAATAATAGAAGAGTGGGTCAGACACACGAGCAAGTTCTAATCTAACTGCAATCCATACAGTGACCCGATACGCAAATACACCCTTTATACCTCACAATATCTATTTAGTCCATACATACATATATCCACACTAAAGGACATTCACTGGACTATAATAGAGGTCTCAACCTGAATAGAAGGTAACATGCGAAAACGCACCCAAAGGTGGGCATGAGTACCTAGACCTAACAGGGTACACCTACCTAC